AGGGAGGGGGTCCGTCCCTGGAAACTTGCGGACGCGAGCGGGGAGGGTATCTGCCCCAGGAGTAAAGGAGGAATGTCTAGTCCAGGAGTGATGTGGACCTGTACTGGGAAGATGAAATCAAAAGGTAATGAAGTGTGGTCGGAGAGAGTTCCAGCTGAGGAGCATTTCTGAGAAGGAGAGTATCTGGCTCAGGGATGATTTGTTTGAAAAGTAGGGATGGAGGGTAGGAAGCAGGTGGAGATGAGGGGACTGGAAGGCTTGTCTACAAATATTACTGTTGTTAAGGGATGGAGAGTGAAGTGGCTGGTGCAAGAGTGATGGGAGTGGTGAATGATGGTCTAACAATTACCTCGCTCTGGGTATGGTGTAGAACAACATTTGGGCAGGAGTGATGGGTGAGGGTGTTAGGCACTGGGAGCACCTGTCCTTTGCTGTTGCCCTTTGTCGTTCTATTACTGTTGTAATTTGGTTTACTGTCAGCCAGTTTTACATGTTTTAAAGACTGAATTTTGAATCATTACTCCTGTACACACACTGTTATTTTTGCAGTAATATATTGTAAATACTAAGATTTTTTTTAATGTACTTTGTGATATGTTCATGTTTGTCTAAATGCGCTATGCTGATGTCTGAATTACTTTAAAGGCACCCATGGTTTACTGAATTCTTATTCATGGCTGCGTGACAGTAATTGAAAAAGCAGTTGCACAGAGGTGAGTATAACTCTACCATATATCTGGTTATCGTAGTAACATAAAGTTTAAGGCTTCCCTGGAAACAAGCTCATCTTGGGAGCACGGCTGCAAACGAGTTCAGTCTACAGTCTTCGTTTGTAAAGTGTTTTACTGCAGTGCATGCTGCTTATTCCTATAAAACTTCAATTGTCTTTCATTTGCAACGTAATATCAGTCAAAGTTTTAAGAATCTATGTGGTGATTCCACTAAGCTTAAAAAATATGTCCTGTGACTCTGGCATTGCTGCAAGGATTAAACTACATTGTCTCTGTTGCAGTGTGCAGCCAGATTTATATCTTGTCTTCCAAACATTAATTTATAGGGTGTTCAACAGAGAGACATGATCTTAATGGTTTTGTTGCTTCTGTAGTAATTCAGAGAACCATGTAACACTCGGGGGAACATTATCTGAAATCCTGAATCTCTCCACATGGTGGAATTTGCATTCAAACAAAAGTCTAGAATTAGAAGTCTAACAATGACCATGAAACCATCATTGGTTGTTGTAAAAGCCCACCTGGTTCACTAATGTCCTTTAGGGAAGGAAATCTGCTATCTCTACCTGGTCTGGCCTATATGCAATGGAACCAGTTGTTAGCAATGAGGGAATTCCTTGTCCCACTGTATTTATTTGTTTTATTTTATGAGTAAATATACAGTCCAGATCCTAGGACTTCTGTGGTGCGTGCAGTGTCCCTGTCACTTAACCAGGATGCCTGAGTTCAATTTCCACTTGCTCCAGAGATGTGTAATAACATCTCTGAACAGGTTATTAGAAAATAACTGGAAGTTGTGGTAGGGACATTACCCTGCACCACAGGAGTCCTGGATTTCATATTTACTCATAAAATAAAACTAATATTACACAATGGGACAAGGAATTCCCTCATTGCTTACAACTATTTCCATTGCAATGTGAAGGCACAAATCGACAAAACTTAATTTCACTGAAATTAGTATTATGTATTTCCCAGATTTCCACGAGGGCTACTGATTCTCCTTAGGAATTGAGCTCAAATGATTTCTTGCATTTTGATTCACTTGTTATATTGGCTGTATTTGGTTTGCACTGAAACTGTAGGAGACGGTGAAAGAATTTAATTTGAATTCTCTGATTCCTATTTCTCTCAGGGCCTTTTCTTATCCCTGGGAGTGTAATTAGTATGAAATCAAGATTCTCATGTGTGGTTCATTGTAATTTGTTCATCTCAGCTTTCCCTCTGTTTTTTAAATGACTGCTCTATCAATGGAGGGAGAGAGTAAAATTTGTATGTGGCCAAAAATAGTTTTCTATGATTTGATTTAATTTTCTATAATACTAATGGTTGTGACTGTAGTGGTTACTTTGTTTGTCTTCCTCTACCCAACAAATATGTTTAACCCCATGAACATAGCAACAGTATTTTGGGGATGAAATTTGATTTGTGTTGGAATAACTCTGGAGTTAAAGGCCCCTGATAGAAAAATTTAAGTTTGTATTTTGTGTCCATCCTCACTGTACAGGATATGGACAACATTCCAGAAGCAGCAAGTTATCACGAAATGAAAGGAAGGGAGGAACTCGGCAAAAATTGTCAGCCCACAGCTGCAACAATTTACTTGGTATTATTTCTCTGGCGATTGCAATTTTCACCGAGTTCCTGGATCCCATTGAACTTCGTCGTAGAGTTTTAAAAGTAGCTCGCGAGATTGTTTATGCATTGGTTTTAAAATTCGAAAGCTTCATTGGTTCAGGGATGGCCTAATTTGGTAGGAAGATAGCAAATGTATCTTTTTTTCATTTCAAAAGTGAAGGGAGATGGAACGCAGACCAATTAGCTTAACATCTGTCATAGGGAAATTGTTAGAAGCTATGATTATTAATTAGAGATAGTCAGCATGGTTTTGTGTGAGGAAAGTTTGTTTCTCACAAATTTGATTGAGTTTTTTGAGGAAGTTAGCAAAAAGGTGGTTGAGGGCAGAGCAGTAGGTGCTGTTTACTTGGAAATAAAAACTGAAAGAACTGCGGATGCTGTAAATCAGGAACAAAAACAAAGTTACTGGAGAAGCTCAGCAGATCTGGTAGCATCTGTGAAGGGAAAAACAGAGTTAACGTTTCGGGTCCGGTGACCCTTCCTCAGAACTCAGGGTTCTGAGGAAGGATCACCAGACCCGAAACGTTGACTCTGTTTTTTCCTTCACAGATGCTGCCAGACCTGCTGAGCTTTTCCAGCAACTTTGTTTTTGTTCCTGATTTGCAGCATTCACAGTTCTTTTGGTTTTTGTTCTAAGATTACAAATGGATCTTGATCAAATGGGTCAATGGGCTGAAAAATGGCAGATGGAATTCAACTTGGATAAGTATGAGGTATTGCATTTTGGACCTACACATAGGGGTAGGACTTAAACAGTTAATGGTAGGGCCTTGGGTAGTGTTGTAGAGCAGAAGGACCGAGAGGTTCTGGCACATAATTCTTTGAAGTTTGTGTCACATATTGACAGGGTGGTTAAAAATGCATTTGACACGCTTGCATCCATTGCTCAGTCCTTTGAGTACAAGAGTTGGGATGTCATGTTGAGATTGTACAGGACTTTGGTGAGGCCTCTTCTGGAATACTGTGTCCAGTTCTGGTTGCCCAGTTATGGAAAGGATTTGATTACGCTGGAGAAGTTTCAGAAGAGATTTACCAGGATATTGCTGGGTATGGAAGGTTTGAGTTACAGCGAAAGGATGGACAGGCTTTTTTTTCACTGGAGCATAGGAGGTTGAGAGGTGATCTTATAGAAGTTTATAAAATGATGAGAGGTATAGATAGGGTTAATGGTAGGTGTCTTTTCCTTAGGTTGGGGGATTTCAAGATTAGGGGGCACGTTTTCAAGGTGAGCGGAGAGAGATTTTAAAAAAAAAAGACATGCGGGCAAATTCTTTACACAGAGGGCGGTTCACGTGTGGAACAAACTTGCTGAGGAAGTGGTGGATGTGGGCACAAATTACAACACCAGAAGGCATTTAGATAAGTACATGAATAGGAACGGGAGGGATATGGCCCAGGAGCAGGCAGGTGGGACTAATTTAGTTTGGGATTATGTTCGGCCTGGACTGGTTGGACCGAAGGGTCTGTTTCCATGCCGTATGACTCTGTGACTCCAAGTTATAGAACTTGGATATGTTCAGGGTAATCAAGCAGAGTCAACATGATTTTGTGAAAGGGAAATCATGTTTAACCACTTTACCAATTTGAGTTCTTTGAGGAGGTAATACATGCTGTGGATAAAGAGATACTGGTGGTTGTACTGTACTAAGATTCCCAGAAAGCATTTCATAAGTTGACACGTCAAAAGTTATTAAGGAAAATAAAAGTTCTTGGTGTAGGGTGTAGCACATTGACAGGGATAGAAGATTGGCTGCCAAACAGGACATGGAGTATGTGTAAATGGATCTTTTTCAGGGTGGCAATATGTGGCACACCATGCATTACAAGGATTAGTGCTGGGACTTCAACTGTTTATGATTTGTACACATAACTTAAATTGAGGGATGGATGATGTGGTTGCCAAATTTTGTGACAACACAGATAAGAAAGAAATTAAGTTGAAGATGATTTAAATAAGGAGGGTACAAAAATATATTGATGGTTAAGTGAGTGGGCAAAGATGTGACAAAAAGGAGTATAATGTGGGAAAGTATGCAATTGTCCATTTCGGCAGGAAGAATAAGAATGAAGCATGTTATCTAAACACTAAGAGGTTGTAGATCTAAGATACAGAGGGTTCTGGGTGTCCTTGTGCATGAATCACAAAACGTTAGTCTGCAGGTACACCAAGTAATTAGGAAAGTAATGACGTTATCATTTATCGTGGGGGGGCATTGCATATAAAAGTAGGATTTGGTGTTTGTTATACAGGACACTTACAGACTGCATCTGGAGTACTGTGTACAGTATTGGTCACTTATTTAAGGAAACATGTAATTGTGATGAAGGTGATTCAGGAAAGGTTTACCAGACTAATATCTGGAATGTGGGAGTAGTCTTCTAAGTAAAGTTGGATAGGCTAGGTTTGTATCTGCTGGGGTTTAGAAGACTAAGAGATGACTTAGTTGCAACGTATTAGATCCTGAGGGGTCTTGACAGAATAGATCTGGAGAAGATGTTTCCTGTTATGGGGGATTCTGGAACCTGGAGTCGCTGTTTGTCCGTTTAAAAGTAAAATTTAGTGAAATTTCTGCTGTGAGGATTGAGAGTCTTTGGACTTCCCTTCCTATATAAGTAGTGGAAGCAGAGCCCTTGAATATTTTTAATGCAGAAGTAGATGGATTTTTGTTAAACATGTGGTTGAAAGATTATCAAGGATAGGTTTCAATATAGATTTGATGTTACAATCAGGTCATCATGATTATATTCAACAGTAGAACAGGCTTAAGGGGATGAATGACCACCACCACCTTCTGATTTCTCCCTTTCTTTCCTAAATGGAGTGCCCAGAATTAGATACAGTACTCCTTTTGAAGCTAAACCAATGATTTATTAAGGTTCATTGTAATTTCCTTTGTACTCTGTGTCTTTCTTTATAAAGCACTCTATCTACCATTTTAACCACTTTCTCTGCTATGTGCTACTATTTGTGGGTCCTTATGCTCTCGGATATCCTTTGGGATTGTATCCTTTATTTTACATTGCCTTCTCTCATTTTCCTTCCAAAACATGCTACTTCATAGTTCTCTGCATTAAACCTGATCTGCCATATGGCCTGTCCAGTTCTCCAGCCTGTCTTGCACCCTTTTGAATTCTATGATTATTTCACCACACAGTTCAAAGTACTTGCAAGTTCTGTCATGTCAGAATTTTGAAATTGTGCCACCCTGATCCAAGTCTATGTCATGAATATACTGATCCATGTGGTATACCACCTGTGCACCTTCCTGAATCCAAAAAGCAAGCGCCCACTGCTACTCTCTGTTCCTATCACTCAGTCAACTACATATTCATGCTGCTACTTCCCTTTTAACTCCATAGTTAGTTAGACAAGTTATTTAAACAAGATTTGTCTTCAAGACTTTCCTTAATTAATCTGTGCTTGTGCAAATTACTGTTAGAGTCATAGAGATGTACAGCACAGAAACAGACCCTTCAGTGCAACTCATCCATGCGACCAGATATCCCAAATAAATCTAGTTCCATTTTGCCAGCATTTGGCCCATATCCCTGTGAACCCCACACATTCATATACCGATCCAGATGCCTTTTAAATGTTGTAATTGATCCAGCCTCCACCACTTCCTCTGGCAGCTCGTTCTATACATGCACTAATGGGCAATTGTGGGGGGCAATAAATGCTGGCCTAGTCAGCGGCACCCTCATCCCATGAATGAATAAAGGAAAAAAAAGTCCTCTGCATGAAGAAGTTGCCTCTTATGTCCCTTTTAAATCTTTTCCCCTCTCACCTTAAACCTACGCCCTATAGTTTTGGATTCCCCCATCCTGGGGAAAAAAACCTTGTCTATATACCTTATCCATGCCCCTCATGATTTTATAAACCTCTATAAGGTCACCCCTCAGCCTCTGACACTCCAGAGAAAATAGCCCCAGCCTATTCAGCTTCTCCCTATAGCTCAAACCCTTCAACCCTGGCAACATCCTTGTAAATCTTTTCTGAACCCTTACAATCTCACAACATTCTTCCTATAGCAGGGTGACCACAATTGAATGCACTATTCCAAAAGTGGCCTAACCAATGTCTTGTACAGCCGCAACATGACCGTCCATCTCCTATATTCAGTGCACTGACCAATAAAGGCAAGCATTTCAGACGTCTTCTTCACTGTCCTGTCTACCTGTTACTTTTGTCCTGGACTGACACCTTTTCTGAAGTTGATTTTACTGGCTGGCAGTTGTTGGGAATTTCCTTGCTCCATTTTTAAACAAGGGTATAACTTTTGCAACAAGCACAGAGAATGCTGGAGAAGCTTGGCAAGCATGGCAGGATCTACAGAGAGAAAGTGAGTTCACATTTCTGATGGAGTTGGAACATGTACAGGTTGGAAGGACTGAATTTCAATAGAATTGGGCCAGTGTCTTCTTGGGCCAGCTTACCAGTGCCATTGGGGAGGACTGGGGAATTGCAAAACTTATACTCAAGTAAGGACAAAATTCTGCAGATGCTGGTAATCTGAAACAAATGTAGAGAATGTGAGAGAAACTCAGCAGGTCTGCCAGCATCTGTGCAGAGAGAAACTGAGTTAACGTTTCGAGTCCAGTATGACTCTTCTCTATTTGTTGAAAAAATTGATTGATGCTAAAAATATTAATGGTAGGGATATCTGACCTAGATGCATAAAAGCCTCTGCTTCTACTGCTCATCCGTTTGTGTTGATTGCAGTGCAATTGCTTGATTTGATGCCTGCTGTTTTCTATCTGGCTTTCAATCATCCAACTAACTCTTCCCCTTGATGTCTTCAACTCCACAACCACATCTGACTGCCTAGGATTGAAAGATGTGGCTGAAAGTGGATAGCATCATTGGGTGGGAGAAATCTTCACAGGCTGTTGACCAGAAGATGTAGGCCATTGTTTTGTCTTCACAATGAGGGCATCTTTTGTGGTGTTGTGCAGCACTGCCACTGTACAAACTGATGGATTAACTAAACACCCTGTAGCTCAAAACTGGGTATCAGGTGCTGTGGACCAACAATAGCAAAACTGTGTACCACCAAAATTTGTAATTTTACAGCCCAGCATGCCTACAAGTCTGCAAAACAACGTTCTGTTTGTGGATTTAAGCAATTCTACAAACAACTACGTGCTAAACAGCAAAGCTTTGCAAACCAGTTATGTTCTGTCACAAAAGATTCTAGATTCTTGAGCACAAGGTCTCTCTAATTTTTGTTTGGAATTGGTGCACATTTGTATCAGCTGTCCATGCTCAGTAATTCAAAAGATCACCATAGGGACATTTTGTGCTGCTGTGCAACCACCCTGCTTCAATGGAATATTATTGAAGCAGCTAACACAAGGAGGAGATTCCAAGAACATCCCCATTGTCAATAAGATTCAAGCAAAAGTGCAAAAGACAAGACAAAGTATTTACTAACATCTTGAGCCAGAAATACTGAATGGATGATTCTTGGCATTGTCCAGAAGTACACATCATCACAGATGTCAGTGTAAGCCAGTTCATTTCACTTCAAGGAATAGCTGAGTATACTTTTATAGCAAAGGACCCTGACAGTATCCTAACTAATGCTAAATTATTATGTTCCTAGTCAAAATCTTGAGCCCTCCCACTGATCAATATTATGAGAGCACATTAACTGCATGGACTGCAGTTGTTCAAGAGTAATTGCCAGCAATGTCCATATCTCCAGAATAAATAAAATAAAAAGCCAGGTCTATTTATATATAAGGATTGATCTCCTGGCCCTGATGGAATGCATCCCAGGGTACTAAAAGAGATGGCGGGAGAAACAGCAGTTACACTGGTGGTAATTTTCCAAAATTCGCTGGACTCTGGGGCAGTCCCAGCAGATTGGAAAACAGCAAATGTGACGCCACTGTTTAAAAAGGGAAGTAGACAAAAGATGGGGAATTATAGACCGGTTAGCTTAACCTCTGTAGTGGGGAAGATGCTTGAGTCTATTATCAAGGAAGAAATAGCAAGGCATCTTGATAGAAATTGTCCCGTTGGGCAGACGCAGCATGGGTTCATGAAGGGCAGGTCATGCTTGACAAATCTTTTGGAATTCTATGAAGACGTTACGAGCGAGGTGGACAATGGGGACCCAGTGGATGTGGTGTACCTAGATTTCCAAAAGGCCTTCGACAAGGTGCCACACAAGAGGCTACTGCGTAAGATAAGGATGCATGGCGTTAAGGGTAAAGTATTAGCATGGATAGAGGATTGGTTGACTGACAGGAAGCAAAAAGTGGGGATAAATGAGTGCTATTCAGCCAGTGACTAGTGGTGTGCCTCACGGATCGGTGTTGGGACCGCAATTATTTACAATTTATATAGATGATTTGGAGTTGGGGACCACGTGTAGGGTGTCAAAGTTTGCAGATGACACTAAGATGAGTGGCAGAGCAAAGTGTGCAGAGGATTGTGAAACTTTGCAGAGGAACATAGATACATTGAGTGAGTGGGCAAAGGTCTGGCAGATGGAAAACAATGTAAATAAATGTGAAGTCATACATTTTGGTAGGAGTAATAGTAAAAAGGATTATTACTTAAATGGTAAAAAGTTGCAGCATGCTGCTATGCAGAGGGACCTGGGTGTCCTTGTGCATGAATCACAGAAGGTAGGTCTGCAGGTACAACAAGTAATTAGGAAGGCAAATGGAATTTTGTCCTTCATTGCTAAAGGGATTAAAAGTAAAAGCAGAGAGGTTATGTTGCAGCTGTACAAGGTACTGGTGAGGCCACACCTGGAGTACTGTGTGCAGTTTTGGTCTCCTTACTTGAGAAAGGATGTATTGGCACTGGAGGGGGTACAAAGGAGGTTCGCTAGGTTGATTCCAGAATTGAGGGGGTTGGCTTATGAGGAGAGATTGAGTAGATTGGGATTATATTCATTGGAATTCAGAAGATTGAGGGGGGATCTTATAGAAACCTATAAAATTATGAAGGGAATAGATAAGATAGAAGTAGAGAGGATGTTTCCACTGGCAGGTGAAGCTAGGACAAGAGGGCATAGCCTCAAGATTAGAGGGAGCAGATTTAGGACTGAATTGAGAAGGAATTGCTTCACCCAGAGGGTTGTTAATCTATGGAATTCCTTGCCCAGTGAAGTAGTTGACGCTACTTCAGTTAACGTTTTTTTTAAAAAAGGTAGATTTTTTTTGAACAATAAAGGAATTAAGGGATACGGTGAGAACGCGGGTAAGTGGATCTGAGTCCACGAAAATATCAGCCATGATCTTATTGAATGGCGGAGCAGGCTCGAAGGGCCAGACGGCCTACTCCTGCTCCTAGTTCTTATGTTCTCAGTCTCAAACTTAATGTGTGATGGAATGGAAAAAAAGTAACAAAATAACCTGGCAGATTTAATCTTTTAACTTAAATTTGGCAAAACAATGCTGAAAACATTGTAAGTTATAAATTGTTTTAATTGTATATTTTTGAGAAGGGAGATTTTTACAATATTCAGTACAAATATTAGTTTGCAGTAGGATCAAGTTCAGAAAATGTGTTGCTGTTAAGCGCTGTGCAAGTTATTGGCTTTTTCATTTAAACTTCTGTTGACCAACTCTAATGAAGGTTTTGAAGATTATTCGTGTTTTTTTTTCAAGATATAACAATGTTTTACCTTACTATTGGTGGATTAGTTGAATTCAGTAGGAGATTAATGAGTATTGAATCTTTTTTACAGGTTGTTCACTGTCAAGAATATTTCTTAGCATTTGAACTTGATCACAGCATACAATGTCCAAGTTAAAAAGTTCTGAATCAGTTAAGGTGGTTGTGCGATGTCGGCCAATGAACGAGAAGGAAATTGCAGGTGGCTTTGGAAGAATTGTTGATATAGATGCAAAACTGGGTCAGATTCTGGTGAAAAACCCCAAAGGAGGCCCAGGTGAACTACCCAAGACTTTCACATTTGATGCTGTTTATGACTGCAATTCTAAACAAGTAGAATTATATGATGAGACCTTTCGGCCTCTTGTGGAATCGGTTCTGTTGGGTTTTAATGGGACTATTTTTGCTTATGGACAAACTGGAACAGGGAAAACCTACACCATGGAGGGCCTCCGCACAGATCCTGAAAGGAGAGGTGTCATCCCAAATTCCTTTGAGCATATATTCACGCACATTTCTCGATCACAAAATCAGCAATATTTAGTAAGGGCATCATACCTAGAGATTTACCAAGAGGAAATAAAAGATTTACTAGCGAAAGATCAAACTAAAAGGTTGGAGCTAAAAGAGAGGCCAGACACTGGTGTATATGTCAAAGACTTGTCTTCTTTTGTGACAAAAAATGTGAAAGAAATTGAACATGTTATGAATGTTGGCAATCAGAATCGATCCGTTGGTGCCACAAACATGAATGAACATAGCTCTCGTTCTCATGCCATCTTTGTTATAACAGTTGAATGCTGTGAAATTGGACTTGATGGAGAGAATCATATTCGTGTTGGAAAGTTGAATTTAGTAGACCTGGCAGGCAGTGAACGACAAGCAAAAACTGGAGCTCAAGGCGAACGGTTAAAAGAAGCAACAAAAATTAATCTTTCTCTCTCAGCATTGGGCAATGTAATATCTGCACTTGTGGACGGTAAAAGCACTCACATTCCCTATAGAGATTCAAAGCTAACTCGATTGCTTCAAGACTCATTGGGAGGGAATGCCAAGACTGTTATGGTGGCAAATATCGGTCCTGCTTCCTACAACTGTGAAGAGACACTTACAACACTACGATATGCAAATCGTGCCAAGAATATCAAGAATAAACCTCGCGTAAATGAAGATCCTAAAGATGCACTTTTGAGAGAGTTTCAGGAAGAGATAGCTCGCTTGAAAGCTCAACTGGCGAAACGGGGTGTTGGCAAGCGAAAGAAGAAGAATCGAAGGAGGCAAGGGGGAGAAGGAGAAGATGAACTTGAAGATGATGATGGAGATGGAGAAGAGGATGAAGGAATTAAAAATGAGCCTGAATACTGGCGGGAACAACAAGAAAAACTGGAGAGAGAAAAGAAAGCCATCATGGATGACCACAGCTTAGTGGCCGAAGAAAAACAGAAGCTGTTGCGAGAAAAGGAGAAGAAGATGGGAGATGTGCAGAGAGAGAGAGAAGCCTCTGAGACTCTTGCCACTAAAATAAAGGTATAGTATAAAGTATTGCAATAATTTTTGATTAAATTGACTGTCATTGCTAATACTTTGAAGTTGGTTTAAATAGTTTTAAAACATTTCATTTGAGACAGAACTTGCAATGTATTGTGTGAAATATGATGTTTCGCTCACGATCATCTTTAACATTCAATGCAGTCTCTCAAACTGCTTTGAAAGGAAGTTGCTAAAACACTTGCCTCTCCCAAGTCAACAGGGAATCAGGAAATGGAGTCACTGTATTGGTTTGAAATGTATTTCCATTTCCTGCGTAAATAGAGTATAAGTCAAATAAGAAAGATTTTGATTAGGTTTGCTCAGTTATTAAGTCTACCGTAAAGGACTGAAAGATAAGTAGGACTTTTTATTGAAAATATCTATCTTAGTTGCGAGTTGATAGAGTTATTTGATCAGGATTTTTAAAGTTGCATAACTAAAGCTTTCAGTAATGAAAGTCATGAGTGAATTAAAGAAGTGTTTATTTAATTGTCAGTATCTTCAGATTCTAACACACTGAGTGTTCATTTATAACACCAGTATGGATTTGGTTTTGATTAAAATGCTTTAAAAAAGGCTGAGTTGGTGTGATAATGACTGAAATCAAAATAATGGCATATGGGAAATATTTGTACTTTTTAGATCAGATTTTGCATCTGCCTTTGTGACCTAATTGACACACACTATCCTCTTAACTGTGTTATTTTAATAAATGTGTGTTTCAGTTTTCAATTAATCTTGCAGTGGTATCGCGTGAAAATTTTCTGTGTGGGCATGCACACAGGAGTGAAAGCTAAGTGTAGGCTTCAGTTGAAGTGGAGTTAGAGAACAAGGGGTTTTGAAAGACTTAGGTTCTTACTGATTTTTTTGCAAATTTCTCTGTTCAGAATTGTAATGGAAACTCCACAGATAAACTTGTCATTTTTGTAATAATGTATTGGTGCTGCAACACTGCCAAGAAATTGTGATTGTGAAGTGTGACTTTTGTAGAGGTAGTTCAGTTTATAGACGTGAACAGGAATTTGATGATGGAAAATGTTGACAAAAAGTGCATTTTCCATGGCATGCACATGGTTACTCAGAAAGATGGTTGTTATTTTACTTGCATCTGCAGTCTTTGATTTAGCTTTTCTTTCTGTTTGTTTTCTCTTTCACTCTCTCATGTCATGACTATCTGTCTGTTACTGAAAGGTGCAAAAGAAGAAACAGCCTCCTCTTCAGGGGCAGGACATGTTAAAGAGTAGAAAATCTGTTTCTCCTGGGGAATGGTTTTAGTATAAAAAGTTTTCCTGTGCGAGTTCATGAAGGTCAGTATCTGCCTCAGGTTGAGTGAGGATTGTTTCTAACAGTCTGTCTCAATATGGCGCTTGTTGGTTGTTAGTGATCTGGCGTATGATAGATTATTAGCTCTTGAAAACTCCTGAGTGTGGGAACATGGAGATGATCATAGGGAAAGAAGGACTCGAAGTGTTAGAAATCTTCAAGATGTGTGGTGTCCATTCTTCTGTTGTCATAGTGTCTGCATGGTCTCGCCAGTATACCATGCTTCGGGCATCCTTGCCTGCAACATCTGATGTAGACAAGACCGTGCAGATGCTACGACAACAGATGAATGGACACCGTGCAACAATCACCATACAGGAATGTTCCCTCCCGCTTGGAACACTTCAGCACTCAAAGACATTCAGTCTCCAACCTTCGGAGAAGCATCTTTCAAAGCGGCCTTCAAGATACACAACAATGCAGAATCACATAGCAGAAATTGAGAGCCAAGTTCCGTACCCGTGGGATCACATAGCAGAAATTAATAGCCAAGTTCCGTACCCATGAAGACGGCCTCAAATGTGATCTTGGGTTCACGTCGCACTACATGTGACCCTACCATACTGTTCTGTATTTGAAAAATTTTCCTTACTGTCCTGTTTTGACACCATCACCTTGGTAACTTGTTATGATCTCTCTACCTTAATTAGTTTGTACAGTTTTCAATTGCTTGTTACTTTGGCTATATGCTCGGCATGCGACTCTTATACCTATCATGTTATTCTAGCCATTTGGTTTGTCTCTAGCACAATTTTATTTTTATTTTTGTAATTATCTCTCTGCCTCAATTAATCAGATCATAGGTCATCCCTTCACTTGCTATTCAGCTAGTGACACTTTACTCACACCATCCAGGACAAAGTGGCCCATCTGATTAGCACTACATCCACAAGCATCCACTGCCTCCATTGACACTCCATAGCAGCAGTGTGTACTATCTACAAGATGCACTGCAGAAATTCATCAAAGATCCTCAAAGAGCACCTTCAAAACACACGACCACTTCCATCTAGAAGCACAAAGGCAGCAGATATATGGAAACACCACTGCCTTCAAGATCCCCTCCAAGCCACTCACCATTCTGACTTGTAAGTATATCACCATTCCTTCACTGTCGCTGGGTGAGAATCCTGGAATTCTCTCCCTAATGACATGAGTCAACCACAGGAGGTGCACTACCACAGCTCAAGAACGTAGCTCACTACCACCCTCTCAAAGGCAACTAGGGATGGACGATAAATGCTGGCCCAGCCAGTGACGACCACATCCCACAAATGAATAAAAATAAAACACCGGTGGAGAAGACTTGAATGGCAAACCCCAGCTTCTTTCGTGTGTATCTATTTGTCTCCAGCATTTTCTGATTTTATTTGGATGCAATGTATTTGAAGCAATGGAAAATTCAGATGTATGGAGAGTGAACAGCAAAATAAGATTAGTTTTAAATGGATTTAGTACCTAGTCTGCACAAGACTCAATGGGAGCTTATCAAATTTCATTTCTGCAGTGCTCATTTTTTGCCTCTGAGTGGTGCTGTGCAAAAACGCAAAATGCAGCGGACAGTAGTCTGTGTGCACAATGAAGTGACAGAATTGGACAATTGGATTGTGGAGATTTATTACAAGACCATTTGTTGCAGGGGTTATTAAAATAAAGTGGTTAGGAAGGTATTTTGTCAATTGGGGTCACGATAGTATAAAATACAGTATAAAAGATAGTATAGTGGGGTCAGATAGTATAAAATCTGCATTAAAAAAGGGTTTGGCACCCAAAAGTCCTTGCATTTATCTTTTGCTTTTTGAATCAAATCACGCTGGTCATGTCAGGCATCAATTCAACCACTTTCAACCCTGATTCTATAGATGGGGAGAATAAAAAATAAAACATTTTAATCACAGGTGTTGCACACAGGCATTTTACAAGAATTGACTCAGTGGTTAACGCTGCTGCCTCATAGCACCCGGGTTCGATTCCAGCCTCAGGCGACTGTCTGTCTGTGTGGAGTTTGCACATTCTCCCTGTGTCTGCGTGGGTTTCGTCTGGGTGCTCCAGTTTCCTCCCACAGTCCAAAGATGTACAGGTTAGGTGGATAGGCAATGCTAAATTGTCCATCATGTCTAGGGTGGGATTGCAGGGTTAAGGTAGGGGGTGGATCTGGGTGGGATGCTCTTCGGAGGGTCGGTGTGGACTCAATGGATAGAATGACCTGTTTCCACACCGTAGGGATTCTATGATTGTATGCGTGCATGAGAACTTGAAATATTTACAATCGGAGAAACGTTTCTTTAATTCACAAATGGCTTCATTGCTGAGAGCTTGACTTTTGCAACATTACTAATCCTGATCAAGTAACCGTTTTCTTTAGTTTTTACTTATATGAAATTTCTGTAACCTAGTTTTTATTGCACAAAAACTGTAATTCAAATTAAGCCTCATCTCCTTTACTCAGAATAAAATGCAAGAAAATATAAGCATTATTTGCCTTCATATTTACCGTTGGTCATATAATAGATGCTAAAATGCTTATTAGAATTTAATAGAAAGTTATCATCTAATTAAACTGTCACAGACTTCATTTCAAACAAAGACTGGTTAATATTTGCACATTGTATTTACACAAGGCTGGATAGTAAATAATTAATTTTTATGTTTTATTCAAAAGGCTATGGAAAGCAAACTTCTTGTAGGAGGCAAGAATATTGTAGATCACACTAACGAACAACAGAAGATGTTGGAACAGAGACGTCAAGAAATTGCTGAGCAGGTAACTGAGGGCAGACAATAAAGATTCAAAAGGAAAATACTACAGATGCTGGAAATCTGAAATAAATAAAGGTGATTCTTGAAATATGATGCAAGTGAGGCAGTACTAGGACAATTGAAAAGTCATCCACCTGAAAAGTTAAATCGCTTTCTCTGTCCTCAGATTCTGCCTGACCTTTTGAGTATTTCCAGCATCATCATCTATTTTCATTTCAGCAAAGATCCAAAGTAATGACTAGTTGCAAATTAGAAGTGGCACTGCTGTACGGAGTTTATAATTATTTTGTAATTAGGAACAAGAATAATTTTTATTTGACATACCCAGTTGAGATTCTTCTTAACTGCCTTATTATAGGAATAATTTATGATTTCTTGCTCAGTTTACCCATAATTAAAATCTGTGCTGATGGCAGAATTTGGTGTTTGTTGGATCATTCACCAGTCTAGATCTGATAGAAAGCACACATACTTTGGATCAAATGAATGATCAACAGGGTATGTTGGTTAAGATGTCACAGCTCCTTAAAGTGTTTTGTCTAAATTTCTGTCTTTCAAAATAAGTTTACTTCTTTAAAAAATATTTTTTTAAAAAGCTGAAGTGAGCAAGATGGCAGGGGAAGCAGTGCGAAAGAAGGAGATGGTGAACAAGCTGCCGGAAAGATGTGACTTCCCAAATGTATCATTCCTCTTTAGGAAAAAACAGCATTAATTGAAGAGGCACTAAGCAAAATTCTTTTGCCCCTAAAATGGACTTCCCTTATAAAATAATCCAGTTTGATGATGGATTTTGACAGGGACACTGACTCCATGTGCCCAAGAACAGCTTAGTGAATACTGGTTGATCAAGCTCAAGGAAACAAAAAGATAAATTTCCCCCACTTTTGCTGTAGAGCATGCCAGTTTTTTTGTAGTTCCATTCAAGTGATTCATTGATTGCAAGACTTCCACTAAACATAGGTTCGCCTCCATTATGATCATTGCTCCCTTGGAGGAAGAGGTGCTCACAACCTCATGCTTGTCCAGTGATCTACAGTTGTGACCTGCAGTTTGGGTACCCCTGGTCTACCATATCTGTTTTTAACAGACGACCAGAATAAAATTTAAATGTTTTACATATGAAGTAATTATGCATGTTGTAAAGCTAGCACCAATTCTCAGCCAAGTTTGAAATACCATAATAAATGGATTTTTCTACTTACTGTACATCTTGTTTGTGTCGAGTCTGAGTATTTACTGCAGGAAGCACAAACAATTACTTTCTCTGATGACAAGAATGGTAGTTTTTCACGACTTAAACTGATGATGAAAACAGTTCAATCTTTTATCATCCTGCAGATCCCCCATTAACTTAAGCAAATTGATTGATTATGATGCCACAGCAGTTAGTCTGAAATCTGTTAATACTTCCTGTCAGGATTGACACTGTCTGGAATGATCAATCACTCCCTTTCCCTTCCCCATCAGGTTTCTGACTCTGGCATTCTACACTGCTTCAGCATCAACACCCAACCTTAATTAGCTGCCACTAAATACTGACTGATGTAATAGGAGAATGAAGGGGTTGATTATAATTAAAGGCAGAATACATGTGTAACAGAAATAATAGCGGGTGTTTGGGCCAAAGTTTGTTTTTTTTAAAAATAGATTTTAACCACAATGTCAATCCAGAAATGAAGTTTTGTCCAAAAGTATCGTAGTAAGTGACCACCTGTCCTAATATTTCTTGATTTCAGATTTCATTTAATAATGTGCTTGGCATGTTTAACTGCTTCTAATTGCTTTATAGGTGTGAGTGTTTTTTTTAAATTCATGTACAAGGTGAAGAGTGAAAACATACAGAAAAGTTCTGAAATAATTTCCTCGTATTTCTTCCTTTCTGACTTCTGTGTTAAGAAACGCCGGGAACGTGAGATGCAGCAGCAAATGGAGACTCAGGATGAAGAGACGCTGGAGCTGAAGGAGACATACAGTTCTCTCCAGCAAGAAGTGGATGTCAAAACCAAGAAGCTGAACAAGGTAACATGGGTATCAATGTTCTATCGTTATTTACTTTTTTCGAAAATTGTGTACAAAGCAATAGTAAAGCAAATCTAAAACCATGAAACACCAATCTTTAAGAAACTGGACTTAATTGTGGAATCAGAATTGTACACATAAACAGCAAATTAACATGTTTTTTCCTGTATTTATTAAAGTAGTAAGCAGTTCTCAGTCAGATTCTGATTGATTAATACAGGCTAAAAGGAAATTAAGAATTGAGTTTATCGTATCAAAGTCAATTTATTCGTTCAAAATGTGAGAGACATTAGAATTCAGATTCCTTGACCCCAAAAAGAATTAGACTGTGGTGTTAGTTTTGTCATTTCAGCATATACCCTTGATAAACAAGAGGGTGCATGGTCAGTCTCACTGACCACATCTTTTCATCTTAAACGTCCTTTCCTGCCCAAGTGGGTGGAAGTGTGTCCCTTTGTCTGTATAGAAAGAGGATCGCCACATTACTTTGCTGCATCTTTAGCAGCCTAACTGTTTGCTGGGCCTGTTGGAAGAACTTTGACTACAGCTATAAACTCATACGGTTTGAGTAAGAATCTGAGGTTGTGAACGAAAAAAAATCTCTTTTTAACTAAATATCTTTATGAACATGGCATCATCTATGTTCCTACCCAACCAATTTTAGCGAGCATCAGATTCCTTTCCCAAAGTACAGTTGTGAATATCTTTATGATTTGCAATTCTGTTCTTCAGTCAATAATCGTGTTCCCTTGTTAAAGTTTGAATTGACTCTGAATGTTATATTTCCAGCAGCCTGCTTTCCCCCCCAGTATTCTTTGGGCAGGGAATATGTTTTATATTAGTGTTTTCTATGCCTGTACTCATCTTCCAAATTGAATAGCTCACTTATCTCAAGCCTTTATATAGTACTTTGAATACTTGCAACATCTATCACTAGAACCAGAACATGTGAGCACAGAATAAAACTTGGACAGGAAAGGATCTACATTTCTGTCCAGTCTGTAGCACACAAATGTGGTGACTTGCCCATCACTACGCATACATCAAGGGAATCAAAATAGTATGCTGTGCTTTACAGTGTATGGTCCTGCAAATACATCTAACTCACTTTGTCTAAGTTTTTGCTTTCACAACATACTTCAATCATGCTGCCCATCTTAGAAGCATCTCGATCACTCATATCTGAACTGATTCTTATGTATGAGTGTAAAACATTGAGTGAGGGTGGCAAAATGTGTATGTACTTCAGAATTAGTGTCCAATTAATCTGTGCAATGTTAATTTGGTTTATATTGCAATATAGCTCAGTAATGTGTTTGTTGACAACTACTTCATACTGATTATGTGTTGTCACGTTTGAGATGGCTGATCACTTATAAATGATTTTCCATTTTTTAAATCTGCCTTTGGATTTGAATTAGAATTATTCAATGTGATGTGTATTTGCTATTGTGTTTCTTTCCAAATGAAAAATTCATTGAAATCCATCTGCCAAACCATGATCGATCTATATATTTGGTTTAGGCAGTATTTGATCACACCAACAACTATGGACAATCGCGCATGCACTGGGAAGCTCAGTATTGAACTGGGCTTCGGTTTTGAGGAGAGGGTGCACAGGATGGGAGCGAAGCCCCCAGTGTCAGAAGGGAAGAGGAGGAGTGCCAAGGAGCCAGAATGGGGGTGGGGAACGCAAGGAGTTGGTTCAAGCCTCTATTAGCATAATCACCTTTCTACTTATTAACTCAGCATGCAAAATTGGAAAACAGTTTTAAACTAAATGTAAAAACAAAACAACCCTTACTCTGTTTAAAGTACAGATCTCTATACACAAAAGTTAGATATTTTATAACATTTATAAATGCTTTTACTTGATAAATCAGTAAGCAAATTTTGCTATTAAAACTATTGGTTATGGTGAGGATTTTCATATGATAAAACTTCATGTCATATTTTTAAATCAAATTCAATACCATCATGTTAATCAACTGTGTAATATTTGTATTTTTGTCATAAAACAGCTGAGCATACTAAGCAATAACCAGCTTTATTATAATGCACACAGATTTTCATTTGCTAAATGTTCTCTGGGATTATGAAGCATCTTGCTATGATGATTCGTGCTAAAAGGTGTAGAACCTTAAAATTAGTTGTCATCTCTTCCTGTGTGTCTGAAGACTATGATAGAACAGATATTTTAATCACAAAATTTCATTTGACAGCTGCTGCTCTCGATAGGATAAACAGTAACATGGTGTAATCATATTTTGTGGTCAGAACTACTTATTAGCTATTTTCAAAAGGTAATGCTTCTCTCCAGTCGCTACTTAACAAGAAGAGTGATTAACATTTTATTCATTCATATTGTGTAATTTGAACAATTTCTTTTGTTAGTTATTTGCTAAGCTCCAAGCAGTAAAAGCTGAGATTCATGATCTGCAAGAGGAACACATCAAAGAACGACAAGAGCTGGAACAAACACAGAATGAACTAACCAGGGATCTCAAACTAAAGTATGTACTGGTATCAGAGAAAAACAGTTGCTTAAAATAAATGATAGTCGAAGAAGTGAATTTAAAATTCTTCCAGTAAGTCATCAGTTGCTTAACATGGGTTTGTTTGCTTGTGCTTGCTATTTGCTGGTTTAATTTTTCTCAATAAGTGAATTGTTCCACTGGTGTGGAGTACTAAACAAGACTATGTCTTTTGATTGCTTCTGCATTTATTGTATTAACATTTTAAGTTAAAAGGACTGTTCAAGAAATCTTGATGTTTTCTTTGGAAAATAGTACACTTAGTCGAAATATTTCAAGTGATGATGAAATTTGACATTGATCCAAACAAATTATTCTTTACAGCATACAGATCAAAAACCAGGTAACGTCTTAAGTGGAAGAAAACTGTTCAGAACTTATTTATACAAAGAAGATTGGGTTTTTGTGGAGTAGATTATCTGCCAAATAATGGAGAATGAAAGTAAAAGAAGAGCAAATCACAAAAAAGATTTTATGTTCTTATTCAGTGATTTCTCTTGACCACCAGTAGCCTTCTCCCACCCAACAAAAGTCATATTTATTGTCATTGATAGCTTTGTAATAAAATCTGAATGAGAATGATTTGGCTAACACAGTTAGATATAAATTCCTAATATTGTTCATGCAAACTGAAAGTGAGCAGCCATTTAATTTATGTTGTCATGAAGTTTATCTTTCACATATATTGAACAACATATTTCTGATTGTTTTAAGGCACCTTGTAATTGAGAACTTCATTCCTTTGGAAGAAAAGAATAAAATAATGAACAGAGCTTATTTTGATGATGAAGAGGACCAGTGGAAGACCCAACCCATTACACGCATTGAAGGGTGTGTATACTTAGATTTTCATAGAAGTTATGGTATCAAACAAGCTAAATGTTTATGCTGCTATGAATCTTCTCCCATCTTCTCCATTTAACTATATTATATTCCTTCCTCTATCAAGTAATTATCGTACCCTAAATACACCTGTGTCAAGTACATGAGTAATTGAGCAAATCTTAAATGACTCCCTTTCTTTTGATCTATCTTTCTTATGTAACATTGTCCCTTCCAGTTTCATTAGTGAATACTGAGGCAAAGAAATTAATCATAACTCCTGAAATGCACTGTCATTACCTGTGCGATTAAATTGTGCATTGCTTATTGATGGTATGCTGATGCCATTTTCATTTTCAAACTTCCATCTGTATACCACTGTCCTGTGTCAGTTTCAAAGAAACATAGCGAACTCTGATGATACTTAAGTCAATGCACTTCTTGCCTGCTGTACCCTTTCCACGTACTGTCCTCACCTAATACTCAACCCCACATACGCAGGACATTGACTTAAGTCATGAAAAAACTGTCTTTATCTTTGATGCCTTGGTACAGATGTGAGACTTGCAATTTTACATGATGCCAACTCTCATCTGTTACACCATTTTGTGTTTATTAAAAGTACCTTTATGATTACTTAAATATCAAGTGCTTTTATTTTGTCAAAAATCCACTAAATCCTTTACAACATGAAGTAATATGATCTTTGCACTCTTTTTAGGCTGCTTTTAATCTGCTTTGTGCCTGGGATACACTTATTTTCCAGATGCACAAGAGATGAAAAATGAGCAGTGATCTTTGATGCCCAGATTTCTGATTCCTTGAAAGTATGCATGAGTTTTTGAAGGTTTCCAAAGGAAGAGTGGTGAAAGCAAATAAATAGTATGCGTAATGAGCCAGCTTGTTACAACAGGGGGAGATGATGGCCTAGTGGCGTTAACGCTGGTCTGTTAATCCAGAGACCCAGGTAAAGATCTGGGGCCCGGGTTTGAATCCTGCCACACCACATGGTGGACTTTGAATTCAATTAAAATAAAAATCTGGAATTAAGAGTCTAATGAAGATCATGATTATAGATTGTCAGAAAAAACAATTCACTAGTGTCCTTTAGCGAAGCAAACTGCCAACCTTACCTGCTTTGACCTACATGTGATCTCAAAACTCCAATGTGGTTGCCTCTGAACTGATAATTAGTGATGGGCACTAAATGCTGGCCTATCCGGCGAAGCCCTCATCCTGTAACTGAATTTTTAAAAAGCGGAAACAGCTTCAATGTATTCAGTCCAGCCTGCTCATGATTTTGAAAACCTCAATCAGAGCTCCTCTCGGTCGCCTTCTCCCTATGAAGAACAGTCCCAACTTCTTCAATCTGTCCACATAGCTGAAGTTTTTCATACCTGGAACCAATCTAGTAAATCACTTTTGTACTGTTTCCAATGCATTCACATCTTACAATGTAACTCCCACTAATGTACACATTAGTCCAGCTGGAGTTCAACAAAATAGTTTTCAAATCACATTCTTGAAGATGTTATTGCACACTCTGAAGTAGGTAGGACTTGACTGGGTCTCCTAATTCCGAGTTATGGACACTACCACTGCACCATTTTCTTATTTTCTTGACAAACTGCTTGGAAGTGTAACAACATCAAATGGGCGTTTATACTTCTACTTAGAGCTATCTAACATGTTCCAAAATTGTGTGGGGTAGTGCTAATGATAGGCAATGACTGCTGTTTAGATGTAAGATACAAATTCTGAAGCATAAAAAATGACAGATTCATGCAGCATTGTTAGAATCAAAGATTTGTGGGATCTATACTTTAAATGTTTTTACAACAAATCATATTCTGGAACTACAAACTTTTTTTTTAATAGTTGTCACCCTATTGGTCAGACTATTGCTTCAGCTTTTTCAACTGTAATTCCTATTTCCATATCTCTCGTTCAGTCCTCTGAATGTGCCTTTCACAGGTGAATAAAATTAATCACACAAAATATGTTTTCAAACCAGTTTTATCTGCCATTTTCTTTTTGGTAAAATTTCGGAGATGCAAAGCATATTAAACAAAACTAATTGCATATTTAGTATTTCATAGTAATACTAGATTGCACTTCACGCAAGTTGTTTCAGAAAGGAAAACAAACATGAATTCCACGCCAGTTGTAGCTCTCGTGGCTGCTAATATTATACTCTGTAAACCATGACTAGTGCTTTTTACATATTGCTTTAGAATTTCAAATTCGAAAATGATAAGGAGTTAAAAACCTATTTATCCATATGGTCTAAATAAATACTACTTTTTGAGGAACAGTCTACTTAATCAAAATGGGAATGGACTTGGACACTGTAAATGATAGTCTTGTTGGCATAAACCCTTTTATTGTTAGAAAACAATAAGTCTGGATTAACCAAGGAATGCCACAAAAAGCACACCTGTTTTAATAAATAAAGATTACATGGAAATGATAAAGTATATAAAACCTATATTAAGTTTTGAATATTTTTCATTTTACACCTAGCAATCAGCAGATGATGAAGCGACCTGTATCAGCAATTGGATACAAGAGACCACTTAGTAGCTATGCAAAAATGGCTTTGATATCAAGATCAGACCCCCGATACAGAGTGAGTAAATGAGATTGTATATAAATTATAGATCCCTTTTATGGACTATGCTGTTAAAATATTGGTTATTCACAACAAAGAAGTATTTTGAATTTACAAAGTAGATTTATTCTGACCACTGCCATTTACAAGTGATGTTTATTCTGTTGCAATAATCTTGGGTTGTATGACTGGCATATTAGTTCCAGTTTTTTATTTGCAGGCTGAAAACATCTTGCTATTAGAATTAGACATGCCCAGTCGAACAACTCGGGACTATGAAGGGCCAGCCATTGCACCAAAGGTACAGGCTGCACTAGAAGCTGCTTTGCAGGATGAAGATGAGCTACAAGTAGATGCTTCTACATTTGATCCTCTGAGAAGTGGTAGTGCAAGAAAATCAAAGTCCAGGTGACTACAAAATAAGTCCTCAGTTATAGAACTGAGATAATAGATAAATACTTATCTTTTTCATTTATTATAAAATGTCTCAACTGAATTAGATTATATGGGTCCAAGTTTGAACAAGGTATTGAACTTTTGGTTTCGATGTCTTAAATAAGAAGTAAATGCATAATTAACATAAGTAGATTTCATTCCATAGCTATTCTTTTGAAAAGTTCTTTGACAAAATTGTATTCAAAGTTACAATCTATTTCCGTGCGTATGTTTTTCAAAAACTTGAACCATACTTAAATATTTTATAAAGATTGCAGTTTGCCATTTGTACTTTGCCATTTTTTTTCTTTTGCTGTTTCTTATATCCATGTTTATAGTAGAAACTGTTTCAAAAAACTTAGATTTCAGTCTCGCTTTTTGCACTGATGTGCTAGACTAAACCATCTTTAAGAATGGGGGTGCTTCTGGAGCCACGCCTTCTGTTCTTTTAAAATTGCCTATCATGTTTCGGGACTGGATGTGGAAGGACTACTCTGAGCTTCAATCTGATCTCTGCATATGTAATTGCTTTGCTCTGTCTCTTGCACACTTGTTCCACAGTTTTATACATGTAGACTTTCATTGTAGCTGCTTCGTGTTAATACTTGGTTTAATGTGTGTGTGGTGCTTCTTTTGCATTCTTTCCTACTCTTCTCATTGATCCAGCATTGGTTCTTTGACTTGGTATGATGGTAGACTGAGAAACATGCTGCACCATAAAGTTTATAGATTGTGGTTTAATGCAATCAAATTGTGCATTGTGCCTCATGGATGTCCAGTTTTGAGCGGCTTGATCTGTTCTACATTGTATCCCTTTTAGCAGAACACATGATTCAGGCTGTTTTCATTGTGAAGATGAGGCTTTGTTTTCAGAAGGACTGTGGGCAGTGATGCGTGCAGCACACGGTACGCACGCACAGATCCCAGAGGATGGCGCAGGCAGTAAGAGAATGAAAGGGAAGGCTGACTCTTCCCTGCTACCAGTGCTGTGTCATGCAGAGATGCATCCGCTATTGATAGATCTGAGGCCAAGATGAATTTTTTTTTCAACTCATCATTTGTGGGTTTTGAGCATTGCTGGCTAGGCCAGCA